TGCTGCTGCTGCTGCTGCTGCTGCTGCTGCTGCTGCTGCTGCTGCTGCTGCTGCTGTGTAGTCCCTCCCTGAGGACTTCTGTCAGGGCCCAGGCTCTAACTGTGCTTTCCTCTCCATCTCCTGCTCAAAGCATGCAACAACACTCATCTTGAAAAGTTGGGTTTGGTTTGTTTTTACTAGTTAAAAAACACAAAACATTTTACTTACTTTCAGAGATGTTGATTGGGTTTTTTTCTAGTATTGATGTGGTAAGTTTAGGTTAACTTTTAAGGAAAGTGTTTCAATTCCTGAACGAGGGAACTTCCTTTTGGGAGTGAAAAGGAAGGCATTTGCAGAAACTATTACTGGATTTATGAATTTTCAAATAAACACTTTGCCTGCATCAGAAATGCTTTTGGTCCAGATCACTCAAGAATATTGTAGTCTGAGCAAATGTGTTGTAGACCTGCAAGGGACAGAATGAGACCGTACCCTCCTGCCCTTACAGCGTAAAACTCAGAACTGTTGCTACATGAGCCATCAGTGCCCCTGAATTGTGGTTGCATAGCAGCTTATGCCCACAAAAACTCCAGCATGCTAAATAGGGTAACCTCAAACAGAAGAGGTAATAAAATTACATTTCTAGATAATTATTATAAACAAAACAAAGGTTTGTTGTGGGATCTCAGTCATGCAATGCTATGTTACTGCATAAGCTGGTACTTTGCTTGGAAATTTCTATTGTTTGAGCCTTTTGTTTTTTCATGCCATTGCACTGTTTTGGAACAGACGTGGATTGTATGAAGATAGGAGCTCTGCTGATAAACCTGTTTAAGAATCTGGAGTACAGAAATGCCCTCACACAGCTTTATTTGATGTTCTGAATATCTGCAATAAAATCACTGTATGATGTGAGGCACAGCAATACTGGAAAGGAAACACATGGCACTGTCTTCCTTCTTTACCAATTCCTTTATTTCAAGATTTACCTGCTGCTACCCTGGTCATGGTCATAGCCATAGCAACCAGCACTAAGGAAGCAAAAGTTTGTCTCAAGTCAATTCTTGATGCAGTGGTTATATGGTCCCCATCCCATATGCACCAATCATAGGGAGCTTTTCCACTTGATAGTGTCCTCACCAGTCAGTGTTATTGGCACTACTTTCATTTTTTCAGCCTAGATTCAAGGAGTTTCTAATAGCTTTAGCACACTTAAGACACAGAAATTCCTTCTCTTCTGCACACTCACAGCACTGCATCCTGTGCTAATGACCAAGGCCAACTCTGAGAAAATGGATGAAGTAGTTCTGGTTTTGGCTCTTTGCCCGAAAGCCTGAAGTGCAAAAACAAATGCTGCAGCACAGGTCAGACCACATGCAAATAGAAAAAGTCAATAAAATTTAAGATGAACATTGAAAAGAGATTTTCAGCTCTATAAAACCAATAGAAACTACTCTTCAGCTGGGATCAGCAATATTGGCTGCAACATAAACAATCATCCCTCTGTCTTCCATTACTTTACTCCAGAACCTTTAAAAACCTTTCCCACTAAAAAGTATAATGAGTATATTAATTTTTTAAACTATTTTTAATGTCTCAGAATATCCAGCCCTTGAAGGGTTTGTGGCCTTGAATTCCTTACTGGGGATAGAGACACATCTCTTCCCCTCCCACTCCCCGATAGAATAGTTTGCATAGAGGAAAATGCAGAGTTTCTTAGTATTTTATACAAATAATTTAGCATTTAAACCTGCAAATCCTTGTAACTCTAGTTCCTAAACCACCTTCCAAGTGAAAAGAGCATAAGATGTATTTAAGGGC